TCCTTCCTTCCTTCCTTCCTTCCTTCCTTCCTTCCTTCCTTCCTTCCTTCCTTCCTTCCTTCCTTCCTTCTCCATCACTGGAGGTCCGGAATGTTACAGGATTTCTGCCTGAGCAGTGGGTCAGACTAGAAGACCTCCCAGGTCCCTTCCAACTCTGTAATTTTCTTATTCTGTTATTCTTTCCTGTCGGCTTCGGCCCCGGAGGCCGGTCGCTCGACCAGGGCAGACCAAATCAGCAGCTGACACCCCACCCCACCCCATTTGATTGCCCTTTGTTTTTTCCCCCCAGAGTTTGTTGGAGAGCGATGTGGAAAGCAACAGCTCATCCCCGCGGGGAGCCAAGCGCTCTCGTTCGAGACCGTCGGAGACGGTGGAGACGGACGAGGAAGGAGTGGCCCCCCTGGAGGTGAGTGGGGAAGGAAACCCCCTCCTTTCCCCCCCCCTCCCCAATTTTTCCCGGTTTTCTCCCAGGCTTTCCCATCTCTGTATAGGACAGCCTGTAGTTCAGTACCTCGTCAATGCTTGCCGGTTTGCCGAGCACCGTCCGTCCGTTTTAGCGACGGCCTGGAGGGGCAACGGCCCTTTTCCCAGGGCCGTTGCCCCTCCAGGCCGTCGCTAAAACCGACGGTTGTAAAACCGAGAGCGGCGTTTACGTACAGTAGTTTGCAAGGCAAAAAAAAAAAGCACCGGTGCTCCCTGTAGAAGGGATTGACGGATAAACGAGGACTGAGCAGGAACGTGAACCGCCCAGGACGTCCGCTTTGTGCTTCTCCAGGCCGAGAAGGGCTGCCCCCCTCCCGTCCAGCGACACGTCAGTGCCAAAGTCACGCCCATGGGCCCGCCCCCGCCCCCCAAGCCGAAGCAAAACAAGGACAGCGTGTTCATGGAGAGGCTGCACGCCGTTGACGAGGAACTGGCCTCCAGCCCCGTCTGCATGGATTCCTACCAGGTAAGAACTGGCAAATGCGCCTGCTGAAAAAGGCCCACCTTCCAGGTCCATCTCTTACCCGCTCCCTGGGAAACATCCCTTGGGTCCTACAGGAATGTTTGTGATTTTGATAGGTTTTTTATCCCGCTTTTGTCACTTTGTAAGGAAGTCAAGGGGGCGGGCGTATCGAATACTTCTTCCTTCTCCGGTTTTCCCCACAACAATAACAACTCTTTGGAGGTGGGTTGGGTGGAGAGGGAGGGGTTGGCCCCCAAAATCACCCAGCCAGCTTTCGCGGCTAAAGGGGAACTAGAACTCACCGTCTCCTGGTGATCGGCCCAAAGCCACCCAGGTGGCTTTCGTGCCTAAGGCGGGACTAGAACTCATTTTCTCCTGGTGATCGGCCCAAAGCCACCCAGATGGCTTCCATGCCTAAGGCGGGACTAGAACTCACCGTCTCCTGGTGATCGGCCCAAAGTCACTCTGATGGTTTTCATGCCTAAGGCAGGACTAAAATTCACCGTCTCCTGGTGATCGGGTCAACGTCACCCAAGATGGTTTTCATGCGTAAGACGGGACTAGAACTCGCCGTCTCCTGACGATTGGTCCCAAAGTCACCCAGCTGGCTTTCATGCATAAGGCAGGACTAGAACTCAGCGTCTCCTGGCGATCGGCCCAAAGTCACCCAGCTGATTTTCCTGCTTAAGGTGGGACTACAACTCGCAGCCTCTGGAGGATTGGCTAAAAGTCAACTGGCTGGCTTTCCTGTCTAAGGCAGGATTAGAACTCGAGTCTTTACCTGATTATTAGTTGCGAACGGGAAGTGCTTCAGCTGCCGGAATTCTTCTCACCACCTTCCCTTCCCAGCCTTTGGAAGACAGCTTAATCGCCTTCCGCACGCGCTCCAAGCGGCCGCTGAAGGACGTGCCTCTCGGTCAGTTGGAGGCCGAGCTTCGCGCTCCGGACATCACGCCGGACATGTACGACCCCAACACAGCAGACGACGAGGAGTGGAAGAGGTGGCTGGGCGGCTTGATGAACGCCGACGTGGAAAACGAAGGCAAGGAGGGTTGTCTGAATTCGACTT